TGTGTGTTGATTTGTCGAGCATCGCTCGCACGGTCTTCGCTCGTGACACCTCCCATTTCCACTTACCGTGGCACTCTCATGGGGCTCATTAAGGCCGTCTTGAGGCAGTCTTGGGGCTCCCTTGGGGCCCTCTCAGACCGTCTAGGAGCCCTCGTAGCCCGTCTTAGGGCTCTGTTGAGACGTCTCGCGGGGCTCTCTTGACCGTCTGGGGGGGTCGTTTGGGGCCGTCGTGGAGCAATCTTGCGGCGTCTAGGGGCTCTCTTAGGCTATCGTGGGTCTCCGAAGGTCCTCTTGGGTCAGCTTGGAGGCCGTCTAGGGGCATTCTTGGGGCTCTCAGTGGGCCCCTCTGGGCCTTCGAAGACCGCAAGTGGGCAGATCTTGGACCGAAGAGCTCGGAACGCTAAACACATTGAAGGGCGTCAGGGCAATCCATGCTCGTGGCCTCCAGCGGACCTCCTAGAAAGCATCCAGGGATGTCATGGGGCCCACGGGACGCCTCTTGGGATCTACTGGGCGATTCTGAGGGTTTCCTGGGAGCGTCTGGAGGCGATCTTGGGCCAACTTGGCGGCCTTCTTAGCCTGCACGGGCCGTCTTGGAAGCTTCGGCGAGCCTTGGCAAGCGCCGTGGAGGCGTCGGGATGCCCAGGGAGCCTCCAGATGGGGGGCGATGTCCGGGGCCTTGGACGATTACAGAAACCCTACCAGCCAGCACTTGGCATCCTACCACGCCCCAGCGTGCCAGAGGGCACGGTGGCGGGTCTATCATCCTCCCTGATGGTCTGCATGGTCTTTGCCCAGGGTTGCCACGGGGAGGTGAAGGGGACACGGTGCTGGCCTCATTGCCTACGGCTTACTTGTCGTGGGCGTTCATGGTAGCCAGTGGGCGATGCAGGTACGGAATGATCCACGCAGGTTGTAAAGGCACTGAGCGGTGTGCATTGGTCAGCGTTGGGTCGTGCCGATGTCGACGCGGCATCTCCCGGCCCATGGACACCCCGGGAAGCGCGGACGTGTTTCTGCACGCCACAGCACCTCGAAGCAGCTGCTGGTCGGCGGATAACCGGAAGTTCCTCTCCCGCCAGCGCGTCGGCACTCTCGGCGAGGGGGGGATGCCGGTCGAGCTCGAGCTACGGCGGCTCACCCCTGGTTGCGTATAGTGCAGAGGATCCTCCATGGGGGAGATGTGTGAATTTACCAGTTTGAAGCATTTCCCTACTTCCCTATGTTCGACATCACCTCACCTCGATGCCGATCCTAAGGACTCCCTCAGCTTTTGAGGGCCTATCCCTAAGATTGTCCTCGCTTTTTGCTCGCCCATCTTAGGGATAGGGATACGTTCGAGGCTGGTTATGAATGGGATGGGGGACAGGAGCGGCAGCGTGATCAGGAGCGGTACCCAGATGGGCAGCCTGCAGCCGTCCACGCGATCCTTCTCTTCCCGTTGTGTGTGTGGGGGGGGAAGCGGGACACCTGAATGGGTGGAACATCACATTCAGCTCTCCGGAGATGTTCAATTCCCTGCTATAAATAGTCTGCACCGGTGTCGCTAACCTATATTCTCAGTCGTCAGCCTTCAACGGGGTACCGTAGGGCGCGACGAACGACGAGCGAGAGCGACGACCGACGAACCGACGACGTCGCTAAACCCATCATCGCCCCCCCTTGTGTTTGTAACCCAACTGCCTGCATCATGAGCCGTCGTCATCATCATCATCATCATCATCAGCAGCATCATGATCATGAGCATCATCATCATAATAATCAGCTTCATACTCCTTATCGCCATCAATATCACCATCTCCATCATCATCACCATCATCATCATCACCAGCATCACCACCATCACCATCATCATCATCATCATCAGCATCATCATCATCATCAGAAGCATCACCATCATCATCACTATCACCATCATCAGCAGCATCATCATCAGCGTCATCAGCATCGTCAGCATTATGATCATCATCATCATCATCATCATCATCATCATCATCATCATCATCATCATCATCATCGTTCAGGTGGCCTGTGTGTGTGTATGTCGTACCTCTCCTCGCCGATGCGCTTGTACCGCACACAGACACACACACACACACGCACGCACGCACGCACGCACGCACGCACGCACGCACGCACACATCTGGGGGGAGCGGGCGAAGCCCCCCCCCCTCTCCTGGGGAGCTGCAACATCTTCAACGACCCCCCTCGCCCCGCCGACGCTCCCGCACCCCACCTGCAGAGTGGAGGCCCCTGCCAAGAGACTCCCTGCTTGTCTCCAAGGGGGGCCCTGGGTTCCTTGGGTGCCGATGGTTTTGCTGTGGAGAGCCTGACATTCCCACACCAAGAATCCATGGACGCCCTTGGGTCTCAGGGTTGGATTTCGTGTGGGAGATTTTACCTAACAGCTCTTGCTGATAGGTTTCTAGTGGTCTCAAAAGAGAGCATCATGACTCCTCAGGGGGGTCTGGGCGGGACCCGGACAGGCTGCCGCCGCGGCTGCCGCCGCACTCGTTTTTCGCAAACAGTCACACACTTCGTGCTCTTCGACCTCCCAGAACTCCATTCCCGGGCCACATTTTGGATGCCCGGAGCCAACTGTAGGCCACTTCGTGCTCTTCGACTTCCCAGAACTCCATTCCCGGGCCACATTTTGGATGCCCGGAGCCAACTGTAGGCCACTTCGTGCTCTTCAAGTTCCCAGAACTCCATTCCTGGGCATGATTTTGAATGCCCGGAGCCAACTGTAGGCCACTTCGTGTCTTCTTGTTCTTCTAACAGAACTTTCCGGGCCACATTTTGAATGCTGAGGCAGGCTGAGGCTGCTGCGGCCGAGGCAGGCTGAGGCTGAGGCAGGCTGAGGCTGAGGCCGAGGCTGAAGGCAGACTGAGGCTGAGGCTGAAGCAGCTGAGGCTGAGGCTGAGGCAGGCTGAGGCTGAGGCTGAGGCAGGCTGAGGCTGAGGCTGAGGCTGAGGCTGAGGCTGAGGCTGAGGCAGGCTGAGGCTGAGGCCGAGGCTGAAGGCTGAGGCTGAGGCTGAAGCAGGCTGAGGCTGAGGCTGAGGCAGGCTGAGGCTGAGGCAGGCTGAGGCTGAGGCTGAGGCAGGCTGAGGCTGAGGCTGTGACTGCGACTGCCGTTGCCGCTGCGACTGTCATCGCGAATGCGACTACGACTGCGAGAACAGCAGAATTCTACAACTGGATTTTCATCTGAATCTTAAGGGGAATGCTTTCATATATGCTTCTACACATCGCTGTTAGGTTGCTTTGCCGGGATAATCTTGTAGTCGGGCCCCTACTGTAGATGCTTCTGCACCCGGGGCCGCGCGGGGAGGGAACCGCCCCGCTTTGGTCGTCGTTTTCTAATTCGTTGTTTTGCCGATCGGCGCGGGCCCTCGTACCTCCCCCCCCCTCTTGGAGTAGATCTTGGCAGTTTTCTGCGCCAGTGTCACGCAGGTGGAGTCTCCCCGGACGCACTGCTGCGAACAGTCGCATTAAGCAGAGGTCCGGAGCCAGACCCCCCCCCTCTCCCTTTGTGGGCCCCGGAAACGGCAGGGCCGTTTTTTCACCGTTTCCCAAAAAATGCCCCTTGAAAATGGAAACGGCAAAAAAACAGCGACCGGAAACGGCAAAAAACGGCTCCAGGATTGGAACCAGAGCCGGAACCGGTCAAAAAACGGCGACGGAACCGGTAAAAAAACGGCGTCGGAACCGGCCAAAAAACGGCAAAACGGAACCGGTAAACAAACGGCCCTGTCGTTTTAAGCCCTCTCTCTAAGACAACGTTCACCTGGGACCACACGGGTGGTTGGGGAGAGGCCAGGCGGCCCTTTCCGCGCCACCCGCAGTTCGCCGCCGGGGACGTCCCCCCTTCGGCCACCCGCCCTTAGTCGGCCCTGGAAACGACAGGGCCGTTTGTTTACCGGTTCCGTTTTGCCGATTTTTGCTAGTTCAGACGCCGTTTTTTTACCGGTTCCGTCGCCGTTTTTCGACCGGTTCCGGCTCCGGTTCCAATCCTGGAGCCGTTTTGTCGCCGTTTCCGGTCGCCGTTTTTTTTTTTGCCGTTTTCATTTTCAAGGGACATTTTTCTAGAAACGGTGAAAAAACGGCCCTGCCGTTTCCGGGGCCCACAGGGCACCCGCCTCGCGGCAGACAGGACGTCCCCGCGCACGCCGCGGGCACGCACCACGCCGGGGTCCACCTCGATCGGATCGACCCGCTGCGATGTATACGGCCCGATGCCTGCGTGGCGCCGCTGCGCATCCTGGCGCAGCCGATGCGATTCGGTTCCGGTTCTGTGCCGATGCTAGGGGGCCACATGCGAACCCTACCCCTACCCCCCACGATTTGCTGAGGGGGGGGGGTGGGGCTTACTCCACTCGGGAGCTCCCGAGCGGAGTGAACCCCACCCTCCCCCTCAGAAATCGTGGGGGGTAGGGGTAGGGTTCGCATGTGGCCCCCTAGATGCAGCCGGGTCCGAGGACGATGTCGCTTTGGTCCGCTTTCCCGATTCGGTGCTGCCTGCTCCTGCCATGCCCGTGGCGCACACGGTGGCAGCTGTTGAACGCTTGGACGGTTGGCAGCTGTTGGACGCTGTCGGCGCACACGGCGACTGCACCAGCGCCAACACCAGGGGTTGCCTCCACGGGAGGAAGGTGATCCTGGATTTTGGTGTTGGTGGTCATCTTTCGGCCGCCTAGGAAGCCCGAATAGTTTCACCATCACCGAGATCGGGATCTTCTTCCCTCGGTGGATGCACACCGCCGATATTGGTGTTGGTGCCAATCTCTAGGCCTGCGAAGCTGGCAGCCTTCGAAAGGAAGCCGTACCCGAAGCACGGCTTGGCATCGTTCGGTCGTGTGCATTTTTCTCGGCGAGGCTCGCGCCAGAAAGTCTGGACCATCTTGGAGCATCTTGGGCCATCTTGCGAAACAGTAGCAAGCACGGAACCGAAGAATGCACGGGGAATGGCTGCCGAGCGACGGCAAGACGGCCGCGGGGAGGTTCTTCATCCAGCTGCTGGTCTACGTGTACCTCACGCTGTGGATGGTCCCCGGCCGCCAGCCCACCGCGCCAGTCTAGCTACCGTCCCCTCAGCGGCGCGCCCCCACACGCCCTCTCCCCACCTCCGAAGGGGGAGCAGGGGGACGAGGAATGGGTGGAGGGGGGGCAGGAGGATCGGGAGCCTCGAGGTTTCGCTTTGTCTGTTGTTGAGCTTTGCTGGACAGCTAGACCTTTCTGATGGTGCTGACTTTGCTGGAGGGGGTAGGGAGGAGAATCGAGGACGGAGGCTTTGGCGATCGTTTCCATGCATTAGGCCTCCGACCTCCGGGGGAGGAGGAGGATGCTGTTCGCTGGTTCTATCCAGAACGATGGGGAGGAGGGATGGGGATGGGGGCGAGGGTTGGGATAGGGACAAGTTACCCCCTCCCCGCCCGCAAGCCGTCCCGCTCACTCCCACCCGCCCTCCCAACACATACGTAGCACCCGAGTCTGGCCCGAGCCTCAGCATATTCAGCAGTCGTCTTTGGATGGGCAGCTACTGGGGGCCAATCCGCCGCCGCCGCCGCCGCTGCCCGCCGCGGCCCCCCCTCCGCGCCGCCGCCGCCGCCGCCGCCGCCGCCGCCTGCCGCCGCCGCCGCGCCGCCGCCGCCGCCGCTGCCGCCCGCCGCCGCCGCCCCCGCTGCCTAACCGCCGCCGCAGCCGCAGCCGCTGCCGCCACCGCCGCAGCCGCCGCCGCCGCCGCAGCCGCCGCCGCCGCCGCCGCCCCCGCCCGCCGCCGCCGCCGCAGCCGCCGCCGCCGCCGCCGCAGCCGCCGCAGCCGCCGCCGCCGCCGCCAAGTGTACTCTGTTTTGTTTTTTGACAGGGATGGTGGGGAGGGGCCGCATCGGGTTGGCTTCGCATGTTTCGAATTTGGAGGCAAAGTGTGTTTTGTATTGTTTTTTACAAGGGATGGTGGGGGGGGGGTCGGCATGGATTCGGGTTGGCCCCCAGTCGCCTAGGGGAGGGGGTGCTTATTCATAGGGAACAGTGCTTGACGATCGTGACGAGTATGATCGTGATGAGGATTGCAATGACGATGCTGTTGAGGATGATGATGATGATGGTGCTGATGATGATGATGATGATGATGATGATGATGATGGTGATGATGATGATGATGATGATGATGCTGATGCTGATGCTGATGCTGCTGCTGCTGATGATGATGATGTTTATGCTTCTGGTGATGATGGTGATGGTGATGTTGCTGTTTATGATACTGACGGTGATGGTGACGATAATGCGCATGATGATGATCACCATGATGATGATGGTCATGTTGATAATGCTGATGGTGGTGATGGTGATGACTGTGATGATAATTGTGATGACGATGGGTGTGATGATTACGATGAAGACGACGATGATGCTACTGAGGATGACGACGGCGATGACGATGGCGATGACGATGAAGACGTTGATGATGATAATGACGATGATGACGATGCTGCATCTGATAACGATGATCGTGAGCGTGACGATAACAATGACGATCACGATGACGACGACGATGGTAATGAATATGGCGACGACGATGACGATGACGATGATGATGGATGATGTTGAGGGCGAGGAGGAAGCAGATGATTACATCGATGATGACGACTGCGACGGCGAGTGTGACGATGATGCAGATGAACGCGATGATGATGTTGGTGATGATGTCGATGATGATGATGCTGGTAATGGTGATGCTGATTATGGTAAACATGATGATGACGATTATGATGATGGTGGTGATGATGATGCTGATGATGATGGTGATGATGATGATGATGATGATGATGATGATGATGATGATGATGATGATGATGACGGTGAACACATCAGGGGAAGTGGAAGGATGAGGCGGAGGAAGAGGCATGTGGCAGGGGGACGTGGATGGTGACGGAGGGGAAGAAAGGGCACATGCTTGAGGCCATGCTTGGACTATACGAAGTAATTCGCGGCAGAGCCATCACTACGGCAATTGTCCCACGAACATGGGGAGGATGTAGCTCGTTACGCGCTGAAAATTGACACCTTCTTTGCGGTTTGATATCAGTATCCTTCAACCAGCACCAAGCTATCACCTGGGGGCTCTTTCCCTTCGTCTCGAAAGCAGGATGTAGTTATGGGAAGGAGGGGAGGGGAAGGAAGGCAGGGGAGGCGGGCAGGAGGTGCAGTGGGATGGGCAACGCGATGAGAGGGAGGAGGAAGCGCAGGACGAGGAGGAGGTGGGAGACCGGCGAAACACGCGCAGCAGGTGTGTGTCGATGCTCGCGTGCGCCCCAGGGAGGCCTGAAACTGCGCTTGGGGGCTCTGCGCGGAGGGAGGGAGGGAGGAGTGGAGTGTGTGGGGTGCGCGGGGCGCCGCTGGCGGCGGCCCCCCCCCCGCTGCGGCGGCGCGCGCTGCGGGCGGCGCCCGCCGCCGCCGCTGGGCCGCCCGGCCCGACCCGGGCGGCCCCGCGAGCGGCCCGGGCCGCTGGCCGGCGGAGGCGCCGCGCGCGGCCGCGGCGGCGGGCCGGCGGCGCGACGAGCTCGGCGCATCGCCCCCGCGGGGGCGGCGCGCGCGGCTCGGCCGGCCCAGCACACCCCCGCGGGAGCTGCGCGTGCTGTGGCGGGCGCGCCGGCGGCGGGCGGGCGGGGCTCTCGGCGCGCGCGCGGCTCGAGGAGCGCGGCGCGCGCGCCAGGCGCCGCGGCGCAGTGAGCGCATGGGCCAAGGCGTCAGTGCGACGTGGCATTTCGCCACGGCTCTCCGCGTCCAGCGCGACGCTCTCCACGCCCCCCCCCCCCTGCGGACCGACCCCTGGGATCGCAGATGGAGCGGACGCTCCAACAGACGGGATCATGCGTCGCAGCTTTCTTCTGACGTTTCCAGCGTGCCCTCCAGCGAGGTCGTCTGCAAGATTCGAGGCTGTGGCGGCAGATGCTCGCGCGGTTTCTGCCTTTTTCGATTGTGGCTGCGTCGGCTTCCATGACGGCGCCATTTCATTGAGGGTATTCATCGTTGGCTGTTGGAGTTGCGCCTGCTGTCGGGGTAGATTCTGCGCAGTGGATGTCGCCATCTTGACCCCACACTTTTGCTTTGACTTCAATTCATTCGTTTGCGGCGGCATGCCCCCCAACACTGGGGCAACGCGTCGTCCCAGGGCCACCGCGCGGGCGGGTATCCGACTTGGGGCTTTGAGTGTCCAAGGTCTGGTCTCGTTGGAACGATTATTGTTCCTTCCAGTCCTTCTGGTTGTGGCTTCGTGCCAGTTGGCCAGGGCAGCAGGGCGAGCTCGGCATCGCCCCCGCGGGCGACGGCGCCAGCTCAGCTGGGCGAGGCGCGGGCGAAGAGGCGCTCGCGCAGGTCGATGCTGGCGCTGGGCCGCTGGAGCTCGAGGACGACTGTTTCTACTTGCCCACGGGCTACAAAAGGTGGGGCGAGGTACAGTGCCAATTCGCGCGGCAGTGCGTCCAGGGCAGCGGGCGCGGCCTTTTCGCGCGCGCTTCCCGTGGTCGGGCGGCTCGCACTGGGACTGGTCGCAGTTCTCAGGAGAGCGCGGGGCCGCCGCGGATCTTCCGCTCGCGCGCCCGTGCGTGGCCGATCCTGCTCCTTGGGACGTGGGCCTGCCTCGGCACTGCGCGGAGCTCGCGCGCCCGACCAGCGCTGGGCTCCCGGGCCGCGCGGCCGCGCCGACGCTCTGCCGCTGGCGCCCCGCCGCTGACGGCGACGCCGTCGGGCCCGGCGTCGAGGGGCCGCCGCGGGGAGGGGGGGCCTTTTCTTCGTCCTCCTGATGCCTCGAACTTTTTGTTGACTGCGGTGTCATTGATGATTGCTTGGCTTCCTCGAGCTAGTTCAGTTCAGTTCAGTTCCCCCTCCCCCCCCTCCTCCCCCCCCTCCTCCCCTCCCCCTCCTCCTCCTCCTCCTCCTCCTCCTCCTCCTCCTCCTCCTCCTCGGAGAGGGGCCGCCGCGGGGAGGGGGGGGGGCCTTTTCTTCGAGGGCCTCTCCTCGGGCGGGCCTCGCCCCGCTCCCCCTGCTCGGCCCGACCCTCGCCCGCGGCTGCAGGGGGCAAAACAGTCGGTTCCAGGTGCTGCGAGGGCGCGGCCGCGAAGCTGCGGGCCGCGGCCGCCCGACGGGGCCCGCCACCTCTGCCGCTGGCCGGAGGCGCAGCCTGGCGGAGGGTGCCGCGCGATCGGGCGGCGAAGGCGGCGATCGTGACTCTTCGGGCCGGGCGGCCGCCGCGGATGCTGGCGGTGCACCGCGAAGCCCCGCGTTCCCGAGCCGCCTGCGCAGCGTTTTGACGCGGACGCCGCCAGCGGCGCGCAGGAGCTGGCCACCATGTCGGCCAATCTGCTCCACGGCCGCAAACAGTCCGACGACGGCCTCCAGCTCGGGGGCGTCAGCTCAGGGGGCGGCGGCCTGCCGCCGAGGGGCCCGGCGTCCTAGAGGGGGCCCGCTGCCGTGAGTTGGCGGCCGGGCAGCCGGGCAAGTTGGCGGAGGCACGCCCTGCTCAGGTGGCGCGGAGTTCTTCGGGGAGCAGGAGGGCGACAGCGCGGCAGGCCCGACGTCCGCGATCGTGCCGAGGTGGCTCCCCGCGTCGCACTTGCGCCAGCGCCCCGCGAAGCAGATCGTGGCCCCGATCAGTGGGGAGCTCTCCGCGCCCCCGCCGAGGCTCTGAGCCTGCCGGCGCAGGGTCGCACGGCGGCCGTGCCGAACCTCTTGTCGCAGAAGGCCGTCTGGCTGGCGACTTGGTTGGCGGCGAAGTGGCCAGAGCTGCCCCTTCCGCGCGACGAGCCGACGGCGCTGAAGAGCGATGGGCGGGGGCTCGACAGGGGCATCCAGGCGGACGAGCGGGAGGTGGACAAGCTCGCCTCCCGCCTGCGCAACGAGGGGGGCGGGCTGGGGGCCCGGCCGGGACGAGGTGGGCCCACGGCCCGGGGCTCGTCAGAGGGCGGGGCAGCTGTCTGCGCGCCGCCGCTGCTGAGCTGGCGCAGGCGCGGGCCACGGCGAAGTTTCACGAGGCGCGGCTGGGGCAGGCCCGCGCGGGCGCTCGCGCCGCGAGATGCCGAATCGCAAGGGCGAGTCCAGCGCCGTCTATAGGGCGAAGCTGATGGCAGCGACGGATGGTTTTCAGTTTGGTGCCCGAGGCTTCTCTCTTTTGACAGCTTCATGGTCACCGCGGTAATTATAGCAATCGCATCATATGGGCACCCCAAGGAGAAGCTGCCTGGGAGGGGGACGCTGGCCAGGGAGGAGGAAGGGGGAGGGATGACGGAGGCGGAGGGTGGAGGAGCAGGAGGAGGAGGAGGAGTGGGAAGAATGATGAGGACGGAGGTGGAGGGGGAAGGATCACCGCCACGGAGGAGGAGCAGGTGGTGGAAGGACGGCTTAGGTCGGGAAAGCACGCAGGAGGAGAAGGAAGGAGTCGCCAATTTGACACCTTCTCCCTGTCCTCCCGCATGCTTCCTCTTAGGTCATTATACTCAGAGTCACCGACATTTAGATTCACACCCATGCTCTGTCATATTGACGTCAAGTTACACTTAGACCACTCGCGCTCATATACATTTACAGTACGCTTATTCAAATTCAGGCTCGTATACAAATAGACGGGTTCACACGAAGACTCACTCACACTAAGACTCGTCCGTGTTCAGACTCACCCGCAGTCAGACTCTCAGACTCAGCCCGCTCACACCCAGACTCTCCTAGCCAGGCGCTCGCAGCGGAAAGTGCTTGGACAAGAAATGCACATTTGGGGACTTTTGCGTCGAGTCATTTCTTTCGCGTCCCAAAGCAACTATGATGTCCCAGGACGTGGTTCCAGGATGGTCGCACCTTCTTTTTTCGGCCGAGGGGGTTGCGCGGTCTCCAACGCTTGCGCAATGAGATGGACGAACAGGCAGCCGCAGCTGATGCCGCTTTAGCTGCAGCCAACTCCAAATTCAAGTGAACTATAGAACATGATGCCACACGAGAGGATTTATGAACTTGCAAAACAAAGTACTTAGTTAGCAAGATCCCATGACACATTTTATTTCTATAAGCAGAGGGTTTGCACTGGAACTGGTATTTGAGCCGCGCAACTGAGCACCAGCCGTAGGGCGCAGACACCTAATCCTCGCAACCTGGTTTCCCCAAACGATCACGGCGGATGTTTTCGGCGACATGTAAATAGACAGCGCACGTAACAGTATGTATGTGTTACGTGTATGTGTGCTTACAAAGGCCTCTCCTTGTTCGTTCTCAGAAAGTAATACGTTTGTATACGTAGTTTACAGGCAAGGGTAGGATGATTCAGGTTGCCCGCGATTGCCCCATGTAGTTTTGCAGCGATCAGATGGGCAGTATGACAGTCAGGTACTTTAGGGGAGTATAACAATTCAAACATTATAAGTCCGACGAGTCAGAGGCGTAATAACAGGCAGACGAAACAGAAGAGCCAGAAGGTGAGATTCAGAAGGGTGGTCACACCATGTTCGAATTGTTAGAGCAGATAGTTGTTCGAGGCTGCCACGCGGTTGTTCCTTGCGGTTGTCGCGTGGTGCTTTGTCCCATGCGCGTCCCATGTGGCTGTCCCATCGTTGCCCTGTGATTGTCTAGTGCGTTTGTCCCACGATTGCTCCGCAGCTGTCCTTTCTTTGTCCCCTTTATTGTTGCTGCTGGTGTTGTTGATCTTTCTCGTCGTCCTCCACCTCCTTGTCCCCATCCTCTCCTCGTCCGTCCCCTACGTAGCCATTCTGGCTTCAGCCTCCTCCGAGCACAGACCTGACCCGAGCCCCGCTTGAGGCGAGCCCCCGCGCATACGATGGCGGAGCAGGTGAAGCTGTTTGGCAGGTGGGCGTACGAGGACGTCAACGTGTCCGACCTCAGCCTGGTCGACTACATCGCCGTGAAGGCGGGAGCGCACACGTACCTGCCGCACACGCAGGGCCGCTACCAGGCGAAGCGTTTCCGCAAGGCCCTGTGCCCCATCGTCGAGCGCCTCTGCTGCTCCATGATGATGCACGGCCGTAACAACGGCAAGAAACTGATGGCCGTGCGCATCGTGAAGCACGCGTTCGAGATCATTCACCTCCTGACGGACAAGAACCCCATCCAGGTCTACGTGGACGCCGTGAAGAACGGGGGGCCCCGTGAGGACTCGACGCGAGTCGGCTCCGCCGGCGTCGTGAGGCGTCAGGCCGTCGACGTCTCGCCGCTGCGCCGTGTGAACCAGGCCATCTACCTGATCTGCACGGGCGCGCGCAACAGCGCCTTCCGCAACATCAAGTCGATCGCCGAGGCGCTCGCGGACGAGATCATGAACGCCGCGAAGGAGTCTTCCAACAGCTACGCCATCAAGAAGAAGGACGAGATTGAGCGCGTGGCCAAGGCGAATCGCTGAGGAGCCCTGAGGGGGGCCTGGGCGGGAGGGCTCGGCGCTCGGTGTGCTGCCCACCACTGTGGCGCGGAAGAGCCCCTCGTCCATCCCGCTCATCCTCTTCCTCTGCCCCCCATCCTCGTTCCCCCCCCCTGCTCTTCTGCTTCTGCGTCGGAAGAAGGGGGGGATCGGGAAAGGTGGGGGGGACGAACTCTGCCGCACGCAGCTCGCTCCGGCCCCGCCGACGGGCGCGGTCCTCGATGCATGGGCGCCTCCAGCGCCAGGAGGTGTTGCGAAAAGCAGCTACGTGAGCTGATTCGCTAACCCACCTGTGCCCCCCCCCCCCCCTGTGCGCTCGTTCGGGACCTGGCGGCGTGTCCCCGAGCACAGAGTTTGTAAGAAATTTGGCTCACGGGTTATGGGTACCTTTTTTGAAGTACGCACCTGTAACACCCTCGGATGCAGCCATCCTCTGAGTGCAAAACGGCTAGGTAGGGGAGGAGGACAAGGAGAGGAGGGAGACAGAACAGGAGGAGGAGGAAGAGGAGGAGGAGGAGGAGGAGGACCAGTGGAAATCCAAGAGTCATCAACGATGTTGGAATTAATCCTCCCTCCAAGCTCCCTCTTCATAGGCCCCTACAACGGTTCATCTCCATTGGGGGAGCTGCCTGCCTGGAAGACAACAGTTTGAAGATCCTGAAGCGTGCCAAAACATTGCTCTCGGGATTTCAACACGTTTTGACTTGACTGCTGCGTCTTGACGATCCAGAATCGTGCTAGAACGCCATTTGTGAGGGGACTTCAACACAGCGAATCAACATAATTGTTGCGCCCGCATAATCCTGAAACCTTCCAAAACACCATTTCTGGTGCGTTGATCATGGGAATCCGTGAAGCCCTTGCCAGGTTTTACAACGAATGTGCGCGGCGCTAAGGCGAGAGCCACATTTTGGAAACGACCCGCCCTCAATCTGTGAAACTCTTGCAAACTGTTCAAACGTATGTGCGCGCCGCTAAGGCGAGAACCACATTTTGAAAACGCCCCGCCTTCAATCCGTGAAACGCTTGCGTTTTTTGAAACGAATGTCCGCGGCGCTAAGGCGAGAGCCACATGTTGAAATCGATCCGCGTTCAATCCGTGAAACTCCTGCAAAGTTTTAAAAACGAATGCGCGCGGCGCTAAGGCGAGAGCCACATTTTGAAAACGACCCGCCCCCTATCCGTGAATCTCTTGCAAACTGTTTAAACGAATGTGCCCAGCGCTAAGGCGAGAGCCACAGTTTGAAAAACAACCGTCCTCAATCCGTGAAGCGCTTGCAGTTTTTTTGAAACGAATGTCCGCGGCGCTGAGGCGAGAGCCACATTTTGAAAACGACCCGCCTTCAATCCGTTAAACTCTTGCACAGTTTCGGCGCTAAGGCGAGAGCCACATTTCGAAAACGACCCGCCCTCAATCCGTGAAGATCTTGCACCTTGTTAAAACGGATGTGCGCGGCGCTAAGGCGAGAGCCACGTTTTGAAAACGACCCGTCCTCAATTCGTGAAGCCCTTGTTTTTTTGTCGGAAAAAATTCGAATGTGCGCGGCGCTAAGGCGAGAGCCACATTTTGAAAGCGACCCGCCCTCCATCTGTGAGACTGCAGCTACTTTGAAGCTTCAGAGTCATACGTGGTAAGGAAGTCTCAGGCGAAATGCCCAGCCCGCCCTAAAAATTGGCCTCGGGGTGCGACAGGGAGGAGCTATCTATAAGGAGAAGGAGTGGAGGAGGAGGAGGAGGAGGAGGAGGAGGAGAACGAGAACGAGCGCACAGCCCGATGAGTTCGAGTCTGCCACAAGCCTTGCAGCAGTGGGAGGACACCATGCCTCCGAACTTCTGACCTTCGAGAGCTCCTCTCGCGCGACCTGGGCCAGACGAGTGCTCGGAGTCTTGAGCACACTTGGGGCGCTCGTGGTGCTCCTGGGGAGGCTTCCCGCCTGGGCCCTGGCCAGGTGGGTGGCGGCCCCTTGCACGAAGGATTGCACGAAGGTTTTTTTTTGCAATCCTTCGTTTTTTTTTGCAATCCTTTGCTAGGAAATTCTCTCATCTTGCGCTGGCCTGGCAGTCCTCGGCCGCGTTGCTCTGCATAGGGCCCGCACCTGTGGCACACCAGGACAACTGCAGGTTGCCCTGAGTTCTCGAAACAGAAGGGGTCGTGCCCTTTGGGGTCCGGCACGAAGTCCGACAGGTGCTTGCAATGACCTGGGCAGTGAGAAAGATAAGAAGGCATCCGCCTTCTTGTGTGTGCTGATCTGGCTACAGTGCGAGCATCCCCAAACCCACTCATGAGAGACATGGTGTGCTGCTTGTGGGGTTACCCAGGGACCTCGGGGGGAGGAGGAGGAGGAGGAGGAAGAGCAGGAGGAGGAGGAGGACGAGGAGGAGGAGGATGAACAAAAAAGAAAAGAGGACCAGCATACACCCAGGACTCATCAACGATCTTGACAGAAACCATCCCTCCAAGCTCCCTCTTCATGGGCTCCTACACGGAATCATTGTCACTGGGGGAAGTGCACCGTTGGAAGACAAGTGTTTGAAATTTTGCAAGTTTGCCAGAACGCAATTCCTGGGACTTCAACGCCGCGAATCATCGTTACTGTTGCGTCTTGACGATCCGAAATCGCGCCAGAACATCATTCTTGGGACCAGCAGCGCGAATCGCGCTGGCAATTCCGACATCGCGCCATAATATATTTTTCTGTGATGTTACCCATCGGATTCTTTGAGACTGTTGCAAAATCTAGAGACGAATGTGCGCGGCGCTACGGCGAAACCCACATTTTGAAAAAGGATCGCCCTTCATCCGTGAACCTGTTGCATATTTGAAAAGAGTGTGCGCGGCGCTAAGGCGAGAGCCACACTTTGAAAAGGAACCGCCATCCATCCGTGCAATTCTGGCAAATGGTGAAGACGAGTGTGCGCGGCGCTAAGGCGACAGCCACATCTTGAAAGCTGGCCGCCCTGAATCTGTGGTGGGCGCTCGTTCACTGGTCCAGCGGGGCGAGCACTGACATTTGCACGAGGTAGGTGGCCCACCCACTTCCAGCAACCAGGCCTCCCGAGGCTCTGTTCACACTAACACCAACATCTTGCAGCGCCACAAACCTCGAGCTTCCACACTGCGATAGACTGGCACGGAGCAGGCAGCACGTGAAACCAGAGGCGGCAGCACGCTGGGCAAGACATCTACGATCCACAGGCTCGTAGTAGTATGATCGATCCCATCGAACCGTAGGGAAACGAGGATTAATGACATCATTATAGAAACTCCGCGCGGACCTCCGAGTTTTTATGTTGATGCCATTACTCGTTCCCCTGAGCTTGGGCGACGGTTAACTTCAAGTTCACGGGCGGCAGGCCGCCGCAGCCGGGAGCAGGAGCAGGAGGAGGAGGAGGAGGAGGAGGAGGAGGAGGAGGAAGGGAGAAGGCAGAGGAGGAGGATGTCACGAGGAGGAGGAGGAGGGGGAGGAGACCATCTCAAGGTCATCCTATTCTCGGTGCAGCCACAGTACTGCGACGTCGTGCGCTCAGCGGCGGTCAGATCTCGGCCCTCGCGCGTGGTTCGCCCCCCCGTCTCGGTCCATCTCCGCTCTCTCCTTTTGTCCACTTTCCCTGCTCGCTCCTCCCCCCCTCCGTCCTTGTCGGATCAACCCTCCTGGTGCTCATGCCTCGCCCCCCCCCCCCCTTCTGCCCTCCTCCGTGGCGGCCCGGAAGTGTGCAGTCCTCTGTGACGTTGGCATCTGCTCCAGAGGCGCACGTCGTCCGCCGCCCCCCTCTCCTCGGTTTCCTCCGTGCGAGGAGGAGGAGGAAGAGGAGGAGCATGAGCAGGAGGAGGACGAAGAGCATGAGCAGGAGGAGGAGGAGGAAAAGGAGGCGAAGGAGGAGGAGGGCGACAACGACGAAGAGGGGGAGGAGGAGGTTGAGCAGGAGGAGGAGGAGGAGGAGGAGGAGGAGGAGGAGGAGGAGGAGGAGGAGGATCGGGATCTGGATCGGGCCCGTTGGAGTTCAACTCTGACGTCTGCCTGGCGCCTGCGAACAACTACCTGGCTTCAAAGTGCAGGGGGAACTCTGGGGGGCGAATCAATCGCAAAGCCTTGAAAGTGCGGTCCGTAGCTCACGACGGACGCCGCACTGCCCCAGCGAGCACCCCCTGGACAGCACGCAGCTTACGAGGGGCCCACCTTAGGGACCTAGGGTTGCTACTGACCTCTCCTTTTTTTTCCCTTCACCGTGCCTTTTTGAATGGAAGACCTCCCCTCCAGCTGAACCGTGGGGGTGGTGGAAATTCCTGGGCTATAAGCCGTGGGGACGGGTTGGGGCCGAAACTCGAAAATTTCAAATTTTCAGTAACAAAAACTAAATTTCAGGAGAACTCGAACCTCGCCGAATTAGCTCCGCCAACCTCGAACACCCCCGAAAATTTTCCGCGCTTCTGACACCTCGGGGATCCAAGGGCTCACGGCCAAACGAGTTCGAACTAGTCGGAGGCATGTTGTTGCTGCTGCTGTTAACTACTACTTCTGAGGCTGTGGCGCTAGCCGTCCCTGATGCACTCACTTGCCGCTGGGCTCCGCCAACAGCTTCGCTGCGTCCCGCTCCAGCGGGCCCCGCGGTTGCTGGGCCAACGCGCCTCTCGGCCCCGATGCTCTTCAGGATATCTTCCACGATGCTGATCAGATTCGGGCCAAGCATGTTCGTGTAGTCGATCGCGTAGATCAGGCGGCGCCTCGCGTTGCCCTCGCGTTGCCCTCGCGTTGCCCACTTGCTTGGCTTTTTTCCTCTTCCACTGCCAATGTAGCACCAGCGCCCCGACTTCCTGGATCGACATCTTGGCCAGCGTGTCCGTCCAGAGCTCTCGTACTGCTGTCATCCACTGCTCCGGCTCGGTGCCGGGCTTGTTGGACCGCGTGGCCGCCCAGTGGAGCACCTGCACGAATGTCGCCACGAGCGGCGGGCCCCTGCTTGCGCAGTCTACCACCTCGCCGTCCTTCTCTGTTTCTGCTCCAGCAGCTGCGATGGATCGTCGCAGTCCCGGCCTGCCTGCGCGGTCCGCAGCGCGCAGGCGGTGTCCGCGCTGACGCCGTGCGTCCTGCAGACCGTGCTGCTGAGGTCCGCCAGCGCGCGGCTGCCCGTGAGCACCCGCGTGGCGAGCGGCAGCACCAGGCTCTGCAGCGCGCCTGCGCCTCCTGCCGCCCTGCGGGCCTCGTCCATGGCGGCGCTGCGGCCCCTCTGGGCGAGCGGGGCGGACGACGGGTCCCGCATCCACGTCGGCCTCGGCACGTCCGCGGCCTCCTCCGCGCTCCTCTGCCGCGGTCCCACCCTCGAGATGTGTACCGATCTGCACTTTCTGGCAGTGAAGTGTCAATATCCACTGGAAGATCACTCGTAGCCAAGTGGCTGCAGAGGTCATCCACGCCCCTCGAGTGGAAGTCGCAGAGAGCGCACACCAGCGAGGCCGGAGGCCTGGTTTCCGTGAGTGTGGACGAACCTCGGGACGGACGTGCTCCATTGGTGAGGGCTCTCCGGAGGTGCTTTGTATGCATTATTTGACGGGCTGGCGAAAGCCCTTCGGCGTACCATACAGTGCCGTTTTTTTATACATGCTCCGCGTGCGGATCATGTATTAAACATGCGGGGATTTAGTACTGAAAACAACGACGAGTTCATGGATAGATTTATTCATGAATTAATCATGTATTAAAAATCCTATATGTTCAAAAATCCCATGTTGTAAAAACTGCCCTGTACATGTATTCGTCGGCGTAAGTGTCGAACATCGATTGTGTGCCCGGTGGTTTCGTCGCATGTGGTTCATGAGATCCCTCCCCGTTTGAAGTGTCCTCCCACACGTGCCACCTTCCTCCACCCCTTCGCATGGCCAGGGGTACTCCAAGGGGGCCTCGGGGTTCTCCGTGATCTCCTGCTCCGTGAGGTTCGATGGGGCGGATGACGACAAAGAACTCGCGGGCTCCGATCTCCGTAAAGTCAACTCTTGACCAGAATTCGCGACGCTCTTCATTCACGAGGTCGCCTGGACGGCGAGCAAGGTGCGCGCAAATTTCGCCGTCGTCCAGAAGTTCAGACGCTCGGCGAACATCATCTTGCATACGTCGGGGCCACGGGGACGCTAGCAACTTAAGAACCAACAGGCGTCTGTCACACGATAAAGGCATGCCCCTCTCGTCCAGTCTCGGGGACCCGAACATCAAAGCTCCTGCATATGATTGGAGGGCCTTGGAGGGGAATAAGGCCCAGCTGTGATACCAACCACGACGCCTGACCAGCATCTCCGACTCCGAGCTAGCTAGGCGCCAATGCTGCATCACGCGCTTGTCCGACCACGATCGAGTACGATCTCCCACCTTTATCACCGCTTTCCCCTGGAGCGCCCTCCTCCCATACCGGGCCAGAAGCAAGTCGAGTTCACGATGATGTCTAGGCGTGAGCAGCATTGGATCTAATCCAGTCAGCGCCGCGTTCTGCACGAAGCTGAGAAGCAGTGCCCGCTTCCAACGGAACGGAACCTCCAGAGACCCAATTTGCCCCAGAGCGTAATACGACTCGGCAGTAGCCCGACTTCGTCGACGGATCTTTACGGTTGGCGACTGCAGCATGTTACTTCTCGGACCCTTGGATCGAAACAAAACACAAACAGTAAAACACACAACAAACACACAAACAACACACACAACAAACACACAACACACAACAAACCACACACAAACACACACAAACACACACACACAAACAAAAACACACACAAAAAAACACGAACGAACATCTTCCTGAAGTTGTCCCGGCAGGAGTTTTCGGCCCCGTCCCGGTGCCCACTGTCTGCACCGCAGTGCCCCCCTGGCCCCTGGAAGCAGAGCCGAACCTCTTGCCTCGAGACGTTCTGGGCGCAGCCTACCTCCTTCCTACAGCACCTCGTCAGCTGTGTGTGTTTGTTTTTGTGTGTGCGTGTGTGTGTGTTTTTGCCCCACAGCCTGTGTGTTTTTTGTGTCTGTTTGGTGTTTTTTGTGCTTGTTTGTTTTGTGTGCTGCTTTTTCCTACAGATTCTGCTTCAGGACCTCAGACGCTCGTCCCACGGAAGTGTGGGGAGGGGCAGCGTGCACACGGAACGCATCGTCGGCGCACAGGCAACAGTCCGACATCCCGAGGAAGTTCGCTCCACCGGGCCGCAAGACCCGCAGCGGAGAGGCCACACTCCCTGAGCCTGCGCAGCCATTGCAGAATGTGTGGGTGAGGAAATGGGGCAATGGAGGAGAAGAGGCGGGGGAGGATGTAGATGCGATCAGGGAGGACATGGGGGTGAGCAGGAGGAGGAGGAGGAGGAAAAGGAGGAGGGACAGGAGGAAGAGCGTAAGTGGATATGAAGAGAAGGCGGAGGAAGGTGGCGGGAGGGAGGAGCGTGGAGAGGGTGGAGGAGGGAGGAGGGAGGAGGTGGGATGAGAGATGCAGGAGGAGGGAGCAGAAGGAGGAGGCTGGAGAGATGCAGCAGCGTAAGTGGATAAGAGGAGAGGGAGGAAACGATGAGAGGGAGGCATGCGAAGCTGGAGGAGCAGGAGGAGTGGAGGATGAGCGCCACTGCTTCACTTCGTTTCGGATTCCGCCTCTCTTCCCATCCTCCCCCCCTCATTTTCTCCCGCGCCTTGCCCTCCAGCGGGTGTGCGCGTACTGTGGCGGGTGCGTGTGGTATGCTCCGCGGCCGCCCCTCCGTTTTCTCTGCTTTGCGGTTCCCGTCCGCCTCCCTCCCGTGTCCCCTCTCTCCTCTCTCGCCTTCTTGTCGCTAGTCATTTGGGGGCGTGCCCTCCTCCCCCTCCTCCCCCTCCTCCTCCCCCTCCTCCTCCCCCTCCTCCTCCAACTCCTCCTCCAACTCCTCCTCCCCCTCCTCTTCCTCCTCCTCCTCCTCCTCCTCCTCCTCCTCCCCTCTCTCCTCTCTCGCCCTCTTGTCGCTGGTAATCTGAGGGCGTGGCCCGTCGCCGGCCTCCAAGTGATTGTTGGCCTCCACCTGGCTGCTCATACTCAGGATTTCTTGTCGAGCGTGTCGCGCGCTGGATCCCGCTTACCACGCTTCGGCTCAACACGCTAACCACGTCCCAGCCCCCCTTGCTCAACATCAGAGCTTCTCCTGTCCTCCCGTCCTGCGAAGCGGAACGACATGCTATCGGTTTGCAAGGTCTGGTGTTTCGCAGGGGGCCGTCTCCGCGAAAGGGCTAAGCAACACATCCTGACCGTAGGCCCCCCCTCGTGTGGTGGGCGCACCCCCGTAGTGGCGGGTGCTGGCTGCTTCACGCTCCCCGCCGCAGTCGGGACGCGCCTCAGAGACGGGCGCGTGCTGGGACAGTGGAAGGGGTGCAGGAGGAGGAGGGAGAGGAGGCGCGCGCAACGTCGGCTTGGGTTCGAATCCGTGCCCGATCGACATACGGGCTCGGGCGGGGTGGCGCAATTGTACCACTTTCGCCGCCCACCCGAGCTGGGAGTCTCTGTGACTCCCCCTCCGGGGAGGAAGAGAAGA